TTGGATCTTAACATATAATTTCATATTCTTATCTATATTTTATTGCATGTATATTTTGGATTTCTTTCATTATTTTGGACATGTTTGGACATGAGAATAAATAAGATGACATAGGATCCGAGATATTTAGAAGGGCCCAAAAAATATATATTTATATTCTGTATATATATTCCTTCCATAACTTCCCTATTCTCTCAATATCTCGCATTTCAAAGAATGAATAAAGAGATAGAGTGTAGAGAGATACCCGAAAAGGAAGAAGGAAGGTATCTTGCACTATCCCTCCCGTCCATTCCTTGTATGGTTTATTTTTGTATTAAGATTCCTTTTGCACATTTTCATAGATTTTAAAGATAGCATTCATTCCAGATAAAAAACATTCCTAGAAAATCAAAAATAAAAATCATATGCCAGAAAAGGATTCATCAGAAATTGGCTTTAATCCCCATCCTTTGGTCCCCATAGAATATCTAAACCTACCAAATAATTCCTAAACAAAAAAACAATTTTCATCAATCAAGATCCCATAACAAATCAATATCATTTTTTATTATTTCCTTTTAAATTTCCTTTGGATATCATAATGATTATCTTTATCATTTTTATATTATTTTTTAATCATTCATTAATAGATATATTTAATAATTCAATTAATATAATAATAGTAATTTACATACTAATAATTACCATAATATCGATATTAATAACCATTCTATTTATATATACCATTATCATCATAATAATTGTCGTTTTTTATTAAGCAAGATTATATAATATAAACAATATTATGATAATTCATCATTATTATAATTATTAAGAGTAATAAAAATATTACAATAATCATTATTATTCATATTATTATATTTATCAATTTCTAATATTTTAATATTAAATATTTAAATAAACAAAATACAATAATAAAATTTATCGAAACCTATATAAAAATATACAATATATAATAATAATTATTATAAATCAAAATAATAATATTCATTTTATGCAAAAATACAAATACATATTATTATTATTATTTATTTAAAATAATTATAATTCTTTTTCTTTATCATCATCATAATTCTTTTGCTTATCATTATAATCCATAATAATATAAAACATATTATAATTCTATTTTGCATCCTAATCATTATATAGTTTTTTGTTTAATTTTATTTATATATTTTAATTTGCATTTATTATAATAATAAATTTTTTATTCATATAATAAATTAATTATTTTTTATATTATTTAAATGTTATTTTTATAAATTCAATAAATCAACTCATCCAATTAATATATCAATAATTATTTATATAAACATAAAATAATAAATAATATAAAATACCAAACCTTAAATAAACAAATCAAAAACCAAAAATATCATTATCACGGAAGTAAAATTCTACCTCATTCAATCAAAATATCTATCAAAACAAATAATTCAAAAACATAATAAAAATAATAGAACAAACAAATACAGGAATACAAATAAATAATTATTCAAACAATAATATTATCAAAATAATTTCATTTAAATTACAAATTATTCAATATATAAAAAATATAAAACAATAAATATATAACAACATAATTTTAACACTCGAAAAATAATATATTAATTTCCATCTTTTTTAATATTTCTCTCGATAATTATTTCAATCATTTTTAATATATTCCAATATCCTTTATAAATATTTTCCCTTAATTTATATTTAATAAATTTATTATTCCTTAAATTTATAAAATAACTACGACAACTAGGATTAGCCCTACTTCGAAACAAATATAACCCACTTGCTAAATAGCTTAAGCTTCCAATATACCTATTATTATCCATCATACGACTCAATTGTTCAATAAGCCTAAAAAAAAAAAAATCCTTTTTAAGAAGACCATTTTTAGAAAAGCAACCATCAAAAAAGAAGGAAAAAGAGTATCCTTAAATAACTAAGGCGAGGTAAAAAAAAAAAGAGTAAACAACCAAGCAACCAGCCTACCCCGTCTAAACGGTTATAATCTCACACTCCTCCGCATTAGGAGCTTTCTAGGGTAACACATAGAGCTCCAGTCCGCCATAAGCAAAACAATTAATGAGGTTTATAGCTTAATCTCCCTAAAAATAAATCGTTTAATATATCACAAACTTATTACCAAACTAAAAAACTACAAGATCAAAAAGTAGACTACCAATTACAATTAAATATATTAAATCAATAGAATAAACCTCACTCATTTCCTAAACAATATATATTTTATATTACCTATTATATTATCATTTTTATTTTATTTTTTTAATAAATATATATTTATATATATAAATATATATATATATAAATTAATATATATATCTAAATCAAATATCCTTTTATAACACATAAATATTAATATTACAAATTTTAATTAAAAACATATTCCTCTATAATCAATAAATTTTTATTAATTAGTTTAATATAAGCTTATGAAAATTAATTCAAATAAATTTAATTAAAAACTATAAATAATATAATCAAACCCTTAAATTACAATTAAATACCTTTAACAATTAATTCCAAAAATCTCCTCCCCCTCTAAATTATTTCCTTTCCCATCCCTAAAATCCTTTTGATTCTTTCCCTCAAAGATCTATTCTGGAATAGATCTTAGGGGCCCGTATTATCGGCGGTCCGAGCCCGTTGCTTAATATATATATATTTCAAGTTGTAAGGTACCATAATATTTTGTATAACACTCTTCAAACAAAACAATTCAGGGTTTATAGCCAAATGAAATTTCGATCCACTTCCGCACTCTTTGTAGCGCACTTGCAACAACACCCGTCCAAGCGCAACAGGCATGCGTGGCCTGACCGGGTGCGCGAGAAATCAGAACAACCCAAAAATTCTAGGGGTTGATTCCCCATTCTTTTCAGCCAGGGTTCTTTTAAAAAACCAGCCATTTCCCCCAAAAATTGGGGGGGGGGGGAGTTACCCCTAGAGAAATTAAGGATGGACTTTTCGGGGCCACAACTAAAAATGGACCAAAATGGAGAAACCAAAGGTCAACAGGTCAACTGAGGCTAGGTCACGCGGCTGTTCGTGCGCCGCACAAACACGCACACATAGACACACTTACACACCCACACCCACCCAAACACCAAATGGATCTTCTGTCGCCAGCCAATTTCTGGTCTGAGATGCAGGCACCCGACCATACGGCAGTTGCAGTCCACATTGGCACAGTTCCAAAACTCCTCGAACCGGAGCTGTGCGTCAACATGCAGCCCTTAACTAGGGAGTTTCCCCCCATCATTGAACAAATCCCAGGGACTGCCGGACTGCCGATTCTTTAATGACGCAGCACCAAATCAAGGACGAGTGGGTCCATGATGGAAATCAGCTCATGGGGGGAGGTGGCCCAGACTGGTGCGAAGCTAAGATTCCACTGCACTGGACAGCTCCTGGGAATGAAGACACGTCCCACAGCGCTTGTTGCAAGCCTCTCAAACATACTTCCATTTGCTTAAGTTCCCCGGAAAAATAAAATAATTTCCAGAAGTGATAGATTCCCTCTAAAACCAACAAGTGAAAATATAAAATATTCTTAAGCAAATGGAAGTATACTAGGGTGCCCAGGACTGAGGATCAGGTGCATGACAAATCACGTGGCAGGTTTTCCATGGAGGTTTACATGTTATGACTGGGCCTAGACTTCGTTCCTTTTTGGCAGGTTCGCCAACTTTGGTGCGATTGGAAACCTGAGTTGGGACGAAGAAAAGCAGATTCACAGTGGCTTCCCCCAAACAAGACCGGTCAAGCATGATGCCTGAAAACGATCAGGACCCGCATGCAAGGAACCGACCGATCCCTAAACAAATTTGCTGTTGGTTGCCCCTGCCTCCACATGACCCCCGAAAAATACGGCGGGTCTACAAATTGTCCTTGGGTGTTTGAGTCAGCAAGAGGTGAATATTTAACACACGCTGGTCACCCGTGTGGAGTTCACCCCCGTTCGAAGTGGGCAATGATCTAGCCGAGTCTTCACCAATTGATGTTGAATTCGAGTTGGCAAATTGACAAGGGTGGCGAAAGTGAAAGCTTTGTCAAACAACTTGGGTGAGTTGGCTTGACTCTTGACACTGCCAAGTTTGTGTTGTTCTTTTAATGTTGACCCCATTTTAATAAACCCCTGTTTATTGATATGGGGGTGTTCCCCTCCAAAAGTGAAATCCCACTAAAACCGGGACACCCCCATATTAATCAACCAGGAGTTCATTCATCCGGGGTCAACATCAAGACCAAATCAAAGCTTCCCTTATGAACCAACGGGCACTGTGCCCCCACCAGGTGCCCCGCCAGGTGTGGACCCGGTTTTTGCCCAATCGGTGGCTTGAGCCTGTGGCTTGAGGAAACAAGTGAAACGAGTGATGTACCGTAGTACCCGCGTACCCCAAACTCGCAGAAAGCGATCAAAGACGGGGCGAAACAGGAGCCTCTCGCACGATTTCCCTTGCATCTGGATGCCCACTTTCCACGTGGAGCTAAGGCCTCAGAACTGCGTAAGTCACTTGGTGATTCGTCTTTACCAATTCAAAACTGAGTTCGCGAAGAAAGGGGCAGATGGGAAGCGGGCAACCCGTCCGCGCGGTCTGCAGTCGTACTCTGGATGGACAGAGGGCGCTTTGCGCTTTCCCAACTCCAGGGGAGAAACTTATGGGCAAATGATCATACTTCAACTTTCCAACCCTCGGTATGGTAGCAACAAACAGTCTACCAAAACTGCACAGAAAACCGTCAACCAACCTGGCTTCCTTTTGAAAAGCATAAAGCCAAAGAAGGATCCAGGAGTCCAGCCCTGTTTCATGGCCAAATAATAATTGATCCCTCTGCCCAGCTGCACTTGGTGAAGTTGCGAAAAACCAGTGCAACTCATGTAGGTTGGGCCGCCAGCGTATTAATGCAGGCGCTGAGTCGATGTGCCGCAGCAAGCTTGTGGGCTTGCAAAGGCATTTGCGCACGAATTCTGACTACACTTGAGGCAGGTCGACTTTTTGGGGGCCTTGAACAAAGCATGCAAAGTGAGTGGCCAAACAGAAGATGGTCATGGCAAGCGCGGCGGCAACCGCGAGCCAGGATGCAAGGTCATCCGAAAGGCTCCAAATTCCCATGGACACGAACATGACGAGGACGAAGACAAAGAAACAGCGCCTCAGGGGACTTTAATATTGCCAAATAATCAGAAGCACTTGAAAAGGGACTGGATGGGTTAGGTTACAACCCATCTTTACGGATCAGCAAAGCCAGACCGGGTTCTGACAAGACCTGGCTTCATCAAGGCTCCCCTGCGCATAGTCTAACCCGTGCTGGCCATCTCAAGGAACCCAAGCCCCCCCTCCCCCCGCGCCGAGGAGAAGACCTTTCCAATTGGGGCTTTGGCTTTCGAGGCTTCGGCCCTCGCGTGTTTGCTCCCGTTTTCCGATTTTCCGCGCGCGCCTGAGGATGAGCGCCATGCGCGAAGTGAGGAAGAGGGATCCCAAGGGAGCTCCGATGACCACGATCGGAGCACAGGCCGCCCAGCAAAGAAGGACCTGTTTTCCCCGGTCCGAGTCCAAAAGGATCAAATGAAAACAAGGGTCCAAGCCTAGCCATTGTTGCAGGAGCCGCCTACAGGGTTCCGACTCTTTCTTTTCTTCTAGTTGCCAGTTGAAAGTGAGCTTCTGATTGGGTACTGCTGGAGTAAGCAACCAAAAAAGTGGAACCCTCAAAGGGTGGATTTCCGGGTGCAATTTGGCGATAATAAAATTCGTGCTCCACAATCGGGAATCCGCCTTGCATGTTCATGGCTAGTTGAGGCGGGGAGGGCAGCCGGCTCTTTGTAGGCGTGGATTTACCTCGAGGTCACTTGAGAGAATCTCACACTTTTCATTTTTCGGGGTAACTTTCTCATGAGCCCAAACATGTTGGTTTCAACCATTTTCTGCAGCCTTTTCTGCAGCCCGGCCTGATTTGAGATGTCCCCTGTGAGTGCTCGCACCAACGAGCCCACCAAACTGCAAACGGCCATAATCACCACTGAGGAGGCAGTCAGCATGGTCTCCGACATCTGCGCTGACTCCGGCGCCAAGTAGTTCCATATAAAAACCCCGAAGATGTAGGAGCCTTAACTGCTCGCAAGCAAATAGGGTCTGGGAAACGATGGTGGCAAGCATTATTCATCCCCTCTTGGCTTCCTTTATAGGCTGCTTAGCACCCGGCTCGGAACCGAAGGACCTGTAAATCAAGGGTGATCCGTGACTTAAACAAGGTTGCGGAACCGGGACAAGGTCGAACACATCGGATCAACAAAATGACGATTTAGCGCAAGTGAGACACACATATCTGCACCTGAGCCGTGATTGGAACTCAGATAGCCGCCCACGACGCCAAAGATTGCGACCAAGAAGGTCAGAACCCATGGAACATGGCGTCCAAAATATTGCCAGCCGCGGCCATGTTGAAATTGCTGGTGTTCCAGAAACTCCCAGGGACTCACATTGATATGTGGCACGTTCTCGGACTTTCTGCCGCTCAAGACCTGGAGTCACTTTGGCCGAAGATGGTGTCCGCTTTACCCACCCAAGGGCTTCATAGGATATATAGCCACAAGAAAGGCATGATAATCAAGGCACCCCCCAATTCCCATGGGGTACTGGTGTGGGGGCAGTGCAAACCATCTCAAGTGCGGAACATAAGGGCGTAAATCGGCATGTTCTGTGCGGCTGGCCATTCTAGTCTAAGAGCGCTCCGGCATACTGAACCCCAAATGCTGGTGCACAAATCGTGCACAACCGCATTCCCGGTGCACCTATTCAGTGGACCTGATTCTTGGGTTCTTGAGACATATGGTTTGGCATCATCTTGTATCACCTCGTACTCATCAAATACTGTCCATGACCGGGTCTTGAGCGGTCTTAAGGAACCTGCCGTTTTCTGGGAAAAGGCATCCGAGAAGCTGGGCTACATACGTCGGAAGGGCTCCTTGGTTTTAGGGACCAACTTTAGTTCATCTCATGGCAATGTGAGAGCCATCAACTGCGGTCTTGGCCGCAAGTGGAAGTAGTACTTGGCAGCAATGGCCCCCTAGTGGGGCCGGAATCAGTCTATGAAATCAGTGCTTTAAGAAACATATTCGTCCCTTTTGGCTTCCTTTAGGCGACATTGTTGAACATGTGCGATTCAGGAACTTCATAGCTGGGGGGTCAACCCTGTTTGGTCACTCGGTTGGGTTTTCACATCCTCAAAAACCTTGCAAGCAATAACAGGCTTTGGGATCTGAAGGATCCCCCCACATTCTCCACATTCCTGCCCATCTTGGCCCTCCCCAGTCTCTCCTTGCTGTAAAAGAAGGCCACCGCGAAGCAGCTCACCGTGGTGGTGAAGCCGATGGCCACGCCGCGGCTCTGCAACGGCTTCTCGAAGCCCAAAAGCATTCCCAGCACCCCGAAGAAGACGCAGCAGAAGATGAGCCAGGTGTGGCACAAGTAGCTCTTCGTGTAAAGGATCGCAAAGCCTCAGCCCGGGCTTTGCAAAAAACAAAACCTCAACAACTAACCACCTTCTTGGATGTTCGTTGCAAAGGCAAGTAGGGCAGTTTTGTTTCCCGGGGCAGAGCCTTGGATATCCACTCAAATCATCCATTTGGATCTGAGCTTTCTATTCCCAAAAGGATCTGCATCATCCTCGAGCTCAGGTTACTCTTGGGTGAGATCACAGCTAGAAATTGTGCAGAATGTTCAACTTCCGGATTTGCTAGACACAAGACAAAACATAAGGATACGGACCACTTACTGACCTGGCCGACCATTTGGTTAAGACCCCTGTTTTTTAGAAAGCAAAACAGATGTGAAATCGATTCCGTTTGACACCAACAGGGGAACAACAACTATATATATATATATATATTATTCATTTCAGCCAATGGAAGCGAGGCGCTGGCCGCCGACATGCCCACAGACTGGATGAGCAGCGCAAAGTCCCGGCCCTCGCCCGCCTGGAAGTGGATAAAGAGCACTGCCACCTGACCCGCCGAAACTAGGCTGGAATTAGGACCCCAGCAAAAATATCTTGCCTGGTTAGGGGAAAACAAAGGGGGACCCCAAAAAGGCAAAAACAGAAGAAGGGGAACTAATTCTGGGGAAGGAACCACGTGTGCTTTTCTACGCGTCACATCCCTGTTGAAACTTGGTTCTAAAGGAAACCATTGGAAAACCGTTCATTGATTTTTTTGGGGGGGAGGTCCTTTTGTGACAAGCCCAAATGGAAACGAATTCGAGCCGCAAGTCAACGGGCAAATAAATTTACAAGACTGTTAAGCTGTCTGGCCCAGCCAAACACGCTTTGTGCCCTCCAAACGCACCAAAAGCGGCCTAGATCCAGGAACCGAGTCAAACCTTCTAGATTGCCATGGGAAACACCTTTGTACTCGCCAAAGCTGGAAAAAACCTTTGAGCATGTCAACCATGGACGCATCTTTGAATGCCCAAATCGGGAAGCCTGTGAGATTTCCAACTTGGGAAGAACATGGAAGATTGCCAACATGGGAAGTATGCTTGAGATTCCGGAAAAAGAAAGAAAAAAAACAAACAAACAAACATTGAGATTGCCAAAGTTGGACGAAACATGAGAAGCACTTTGAGGGAAATCTGGCCAACATGGAACGGATCCTCAACTTTCAGATGGCAACACTGAGAAACCACTTAGACTCACGTCCTGCGTGGATGGCCCCCCAAAAAGTCTAAGAAATTTGTCTGCCGCTAAAATGGTCCCAAAATCAAGTCCAGGAACTCAGGAAGTGAGTTGGTGAACATCTTCCATTTCCTTAACCCCCTGGAAAGAATAAAAGCAAATCCAGAAGTGAAATCGATTCCCCTTAAAACCAACAAGGGAAAATATAACATATTCTTAAGCAACAGGGATCCTTACATTATACACCTGAACATTGCCTTGTTCCCTTGAAATTGGTGGAAAAAGCCATGTTTCAAATGGGCAAAATGTATCTGTTAAGGATCCCTGAGCAAATGAGTGTGGGTCAACAATAGGTACCCAAAACGGAACCCTGGAAAAGGAAACAAGGACAAAAACCTGCGGTCCCCTGGTGGTATCATTTGACCCATACCCAAATATGCATTTATGGCCATGGGCCAAAAGCCCGTACCCCCAGTGAACATCCCAATCCCTATGAACAAATCCCGACTAAAATGGGTGGTGCACCTACCCCGAAATGCGATCCCAAAACGGTTTTGACAACCACAGCCGTTAAAAATATATTTTCGCTTCAGCAATTGGAAGACAGGGTTCTTAGGAACGAGTTCGCGCGGCTCTTTTCGTTCTGGGCGCGGGGAAGGCCACCACGCCGCCGCCCAGCGGCATGGATCCAGCGATCACGCTGCCGAAGAGCATGGCCAGGCTCATGGACGAGTAGTCCCAGGCGTCTTTCCAGGCAGCCTTGCGCAGGCGAACGATAGATGACTCTTATCAAGCTGACCCATCTCAGTTAACCCCAAGTGGTTAGAACACCGGTCATTTACTAGGTCCTCCAGTTTTGGAGGGTTAGAACAAGTTGGTACCAACGTGTTTTTGTTGTCTATTTTAGTAGGGGAAGCCTCCCCCACAAAAGGGTCAAAGGGCACTACCGGGAAACCTAGTAGATGACTCTTACCCTCATGACCCATCTCAGTTAACCCCAAGTGGTTAGAACACCGGTCATTTACTAGGTCCTCCAGTTTTGGAGGGTTAGAACAAGTTGGTACCAACGTGTTTTTGTTGTCTATTTTAGTAGGGGAAGCCTCCCCCACAAAAGGGTCAAAGGGCACTACCGGGGAACCTAGTAGATGACTCTTACCCTCATGACCCATCTCAGTTAACCCCAAGTGGTTAGAACACCGGTCATTTACTAGGTCCTCCAGTTTTGGAGGGTTAGAACAAGTTGGTACCAACGTGTTTTTGTTGTCTATTTTAGTAGGGGAAGCCTCCCCCACAAAAGGGTCAAAGGGCACTACCGGGGAACCTAGTAGATGACTCTTACCCTCATGACCCATCTCAGTTTACCCCAAGTGGTTAGAACACCGGTCATTTACTAGGTCCTCCAGTTTTGGAGGGTTAGAACAAGTTGGTACCAACGTGTTTTTGTTGTCTATTTTAGTAGGGGAAGCCTCCCCCACAAAAGGGTCAAAGGGCACTACCGGGGAACCTAGTAGATGACTCTGACCCTCGGAATCTCATACCTCTTAGATGAATTCGCTGTATGTATCCATACTGAATCTGCCAAAGCCACGCAAGCGTTTAAACATCATCCTCTTGGACCGCTTCAAGGCCAAATTGCTTCAACCAATTTCCCCAACCGCGCCTGCTTCTGCACAACGAAGAACCAAACGGGATAAATAATCAAAGCAGGAAAGAATGAGTGCCATAGCGGCACTCCTTACGTGAGGATCAGCTGCCCAAACGACCCAAACATAAAAGGTCAACCTTTTTTTGGTTGACGTTGGCAGTTCAGTGGGGATGTCCCACCAAACCACAGTAAGCAAACATGCAAAATGTTTCCCAACAACAACCATGTTTTGGGGCCATGACTAAAAATGGATCAACATGGGGAAACTCCAAGGGTCAAAAAGTTGGCTTTGGGCAGAGGGGTTTTGGCCCCACTCTTTGGCCAGAAAACCTCCAAAAATGCCTGGAGAACAAGTTGGCCAGCAAGCCCCCGAGGAAAAAACAACAAAAAACGAACCCTTGAGGAAGTGAACAGGAAAAGCAAGTGCTGAGTGCTGGGACCAGCTTCTCTTGGGACTCTCGGGGGCGGGCGTGTCCTTTCGGGGCGTGCGAGCTCTCGGCGATTCCGTCTCGATCGTGTTGCTGGTGTTCGGCGTGGCCATGGCGATTGCAAGCGACCGCAAGCGGCCGCAAGGGAGCCGCTTAAAGAATACGTAGCCAATCACAAAAAACCTATCAGCGCAGACTTACACAAAATGACAAGCTTAAGGATGATGAACAATTCCTGGCTCGCAGCCACTGCAAGCTGCTATCGAATCTTAGTTGCTGTAGCTTTCGAGTGTTCAGGTATGTAGCAAATGCTCATAGCGTACAGCGCTAAGAGTTTAAGGTATGCAACGGCACGAAGGCATCCCACTTCCGCTAGGACACCTTGAGCCTGGGCGATGTCGCTTGGAATTTGCCTCGGACTCTGATGACGCAATGCAACGTGGGTAGGTGAGCACGAGATGCTGCACGCCTTTCCAAACATTTAGCTCTATACAAAAGGTTTCAAAGCTCGGCATGCTTTGGATAACCGAATGCGAGATTTGACGCTTCTCAGGGCAGGGTTCCTTTAAAAACACATGAAGGGATGGCTCGTGCATTCCCACGAAGGGCACTGAGATTGGGGAACCAAGCGAAATTAAGCAAGCAAAGTGACCAAACAAGCTTGTAAAAACAGGAGCCAAGATCAAGTAACCAAACAGAGGTAACCACATACACGCTTCGGATCCGAGCAACGTTGAAATTGAAATCGCAAAAACCGGCCAAACGCTGCCCAAGAGCATGAAAGGGAGCAACCTTCTTAAGAAAACCTGCCAACCTAACCAAAGCAAAAGAACATTTCACAGGAACAAATGGGAACCCACAAAAGGAACAAACAACTAAAACCTTTCAATGGACACCCCACACCACAATTGCAACAAATGAGAACATGGGACCTTCCGAATTGAAGAAAGGTCATCCCAGCCAGTTCATAACGAACCGCTGCGTGCCCCTCCTCAGCGGTTCCTCCCCCGCAAAGCGAGCAGGACTGCATCTCCGACTGGCCTGCGCGACGGAAAACCCACCCGATGTTCTAAAAGACCCTACACCCAAGGCCCTAAGGCCTTCTTAAGGCCTGCCCGACTCTCCAGTGGTAACGAGGGCATCCGGGTTTTGGTCCTCCAAGACCCGGCCGTATGGACGTAGATCCCAGCTTGACTTGGATGGGTGGCCTTCAGCTCAGATCCCCTGCTGACAGTTTGACTTTCAATGGGTTAAATGGAAGACCCCCATAAACACTAACATCTCAAAACACATTTGGTCGCTGGGAATGTTTGCACACGGAACCCATCCTCTGCGATGCGGAACAGCCCGCGTACCCTCTGCGCCCACGGGCACGGAGTTCCGGTGGTCGAAAACAAAGAGCCGGCCCTCGCGCGAAGTCGAGTCCAGTGACTTAGTGGGTCCCAGACCTGCTCGCAACATACCCTTCACCTCTTGTTTGTTTAATGGAAAAGGTGGTTCCCACAAGGTCTAAGGGGCGATTTGGTCGCACCAAAGATCAGCCAAGATATCACTCAAACATGGTGCAAGTGTAAAAAGCAGCCAATGGGCTGAGGCAGCGCATGTCCATGCGTATAATGTTGGCACCCGATTAGAAATGGGATAGTGAATAATTCAAAGTGTTTTCCTTGTTGTGGTTCACCCCCATAGTTTAAGTGGACCAGAATAATTGACAGTTTTTCGCCCGGGCGGACAAATCAAAAATAAAAATATCCACAAATCAGTTTTAATTGGTTGCTCCTTTTAATTGGTGGCCCACTTACGCAAGGCACTCCCCTGAAAATTGGTTTTTTAAACACACAACCCAAAGCCAGCTGAAACCTCTGAAATGTGAAAACCATCCCCAATCCTGAAACTGCAGAATCATGCAAAATCTATATTAAACCGTGCCGAAAAAAACAAAAACAATCAGGACAAGGGTATCCCTCACAAACCCCACTGAACCACAACAATGGCATTGTTTAAGGGGACCGCACTAGTTGCAAGACCCCAGCCCCCCCCTCCAGAAAATAAACTGTCAGTTGCTTTACTTAAAACCCAAAAGCATTCACCTTTGAATTGGTGGCCCACTTGCTTAAAAACATTCCCCTCCTAATTGGTTGCTCAGCTCAGGAGTCACGCCTCATAAGCTGCAAGTTCTGCCCCCCCCCCCCTGCCCCCCTCCCCTCCCCAAGCAAAAGGCAACCCCAAAAGCAATTGGACAAGAAAGCTCTGGACGTTTTTGGCCCGCAACGAGGAAGCAACCCGTGCTGGAGCTCTGGCCACCCGCGACAAGAAAAGGGTTGACTGCGAGTCGACTGGGTTGTCCTGGAGCTGATTTGCGCAAGGCGCGCGGCTCGTTTTTGCAGAAACAAAAAAAGGACACAAACCAGGAGCATTCTGCCCACCTCCCCCCCCCCCGGGAAACAGGAAGCACTGGATGGGGATGACTCCGTCCTTCCAGTTTTCCGCGCCCACGGTGTTGCCGTAGTGCTGGACACCACCTTTTAGCTTGTACACCTCGATTGCGGACGGGGAAAAACAAGCTCCCAACCCCAGGGATCACTAAATGGGTGTGCCATTTTTCGAGACGAGATTGCGAGTGCAGCTTTGTGCGATTTTGAGATATCTTGAACAAGTTGTACACTTGCCTTGCTGATCAGTGCTTGTAACTGCGAGTCTCTACATGGACTGTTGTAAGATGCAGTTGAATTAGAATTCAAGTTCAACCCAGTATGAAGACAAGCTGGTAGAAACAATTTCCCCCCCCTTTGAAAGGAGTCAAAAACCATTCGGAACTAGAACTCAAATGGCTTTCCTTTCAAAGCAGGATTTCAAGTAAGCAACCAGTAAAACACCATGGAACATGCAGCCAATTCGATTGCACGTTTTAAGTGCAGGGCTTTAAGTTGAACGGGGATTTCGCCCCTCCATTCCACATAGGACTTCCTTTAGAATTTTATGCTAACTCAGATGTTAAATAGCAACTTATTGCTAAATATGAGTTCAATTGGAGTTTGATTAGACCTCTTATCTTGAGTTAGATTTCAAACAGGAACCCTTTTTGATTCAAAATAGGAATTCCTTTCCAAGTAGGATTCAAAATGCAATTTAACTATGATTTAACCAGAATCTAGTAACGGAAGACAAGCTGGTTGTTTCAAAGGAATTCGATTATGAGTCGTATGTTGAACCAGATCGTTGATAGGATTCTTGTTGCAAGTATCTAGGATTTCAGCTGGATTCAACTGTATTTTGAATTGAACCTGGCAAGGAAAGACAAGCTGGCTGCCCTAATGATGTGCGAATGCTTGGAAAGGCCTGGAAAGGACGTCTGCCCTCTGACATCATGTCTGGCGCAAAGAGTCCGAACATTGAACCTGAACTTGCTTTTCCGCGTTTAGCTTCCATTTGCCTACGCCTCCTGGAAAATATAAGCATATTTCCAGTAGTGATCGATTCCCTTTAAAACCAACATGGGAAGATAACAGATATTCTTAAGCAATTGGAAGCTGATATTCCTTACAGGTCTTGATGACAAAGGTTAGCCATTTGGCATGGCCTAGAAAGCCGCCGAAACTTCTTGACACATCAAAAGTGAGACGTGTTGTCCCTCAGCGTATGGCCCCAACCGACAAAAATCCAGTGTGGTTGTATTTAGCGAGCCGCAATATGTAACATACGTTGAAAAGCGCAAGAAAAGGGAATGCCCCCCTAGCAATCTCTTGTGTTTTTTTCAGTGAATCCCCAAGCGGTTCTTTTGTTCTTTTCCTACACCCAGGTGACTTCTTATCACACCAGCAAGTCTTCCTTTGCCCTCAACCTTGCCCAGGTGTTGCAACCGAAAGGCATCATCTTCAGTGGGACACCATGGGAACTGGTCGAAAACATCCGACTTGAGGGGGGGGGGGGAAACATGCCCTACTTATTTTCCGGCCAAAAAAACAAAAATCTTCCCCTAAAAGGTATGAAGCAGCCAGAACAAACGAAATCCGATTGAAGGACTCGTCCCTCAAGGCTGCAAGCAAACAAACAGCTGGTTTGCAGTTTGCCAGCTCCAAATCCACTAAAGCAACTTCCTGAAAGCTGAAAATCCGCGAGCTGCTAGGTAATGGTTGGTGGTTTGGGTTGGGAGTTGAGCTTTTGGTGCTTTGTAGAGCTGGGAAAGCCATGTCGTCGGAACCACTTGCAAACCACTCCAAGCCAAACGCAAGCAGAATTCACGTAGACTTGGGCGCCCGGCATGTCGGAAACCTCAGCAAAGGCAGATTCTCTCTGTACGGGACTGACTCCCATGCCCGTAAATACATATACAAACAACTCTATGCATACATATACATATATATATATATGTATATGTATATTCTCAGAATACTAATGCGACTAACAACTTGATTTGTAATAACAATAAATCATTCCCACAGGAAGCTTAACTAGAACACTTCCGTAATACGAGAAGTGGAGATACTCACATGCGAAACACGCAAAGGGTAGCCCTGTTCTGCGCACTGCGTCGCCACGGTCCCGGAAAGCTCCCCGCTGGAGGTGCAAATCACGTGGCAGGCGCAGCACTTTGGCAACTTCAGGTGAACATTTCGTGGCAGGCGCAGCATTTTTTGCAGCCATGCAAGGTCAAGTGCATATTTTGTGCTAGTGGCAGGCGCAGCGCTTTCACAAGGTCTGGTGACTGATACAAGGAAAGAAAGTGTTGCAAGAAAGAAGAAACAAACAAAGAAGAAAAGAAAGAAAGAAAGAAAGAAAGAAAGAAAGAAAGAAAGAAAGAAAGAAAGAAAGAAAGAAAGAAAGAAAGAAAGAAAGAAAGAAAGAAAGAAAGAAAGAAAGAAAGAAAGAAAGAAAGAAAGAAAGAAAGAAAGAAAGAAAGAAAGAAAGAAAGAAAGAAAGAAAAGGAAGGAAGGAAAGAAAGAAAGAAAGAAAGAAAGAAGGAAGGAAGGAAAGAAATAAAGAAAGGAAGAAAGGAAGAAAGGAAGAAAGGAAGAAAGGAAGAAAGAAAGAAAGAAAGCAAGACAGAAAGAAAGAAATAAGGAAAGAGAGAAAATAAATAAGGAATGAGAGAAAGAAAGACAGAAGGAAGGAAAGAAAGAAAGAACAGAAGAAGGAAAGAAGGAAAGAAGGAAAGAAGGAAATAAGGAAAGAAGGAAAGAAGGGAAAGAAGGAAAGAAAGAAAGAAAGAAAGAAAGGAAGGAAGGAAGGAAGAAAGAAAGAAAGAAACAACAAGAGAGAAATAAAGAAGGAAGGAAAGAGAGAGATTAAGAAGGAAGGAAAGAAAGAAAGAACAAAAGAAAGAAAAAAGAAGGAAATGAAGGAAAGAAGGAAAGACGGAAAGAAGGAAATAAGGAAGGAAGGAAGGAAGGAAGGAAGGAAGGAAGGAAGGAAGGAAGGAAGGAAGGAAGGAAGGAAGGAAGGAAGGAAGGAAGGAAGGAAGGAATGAAGAACAGAAAGAAAGAACAAAAGAAAGAAAGAACAAAAGAAAGAAAGAAAGAAAGAAGGAAAGAAGGAAAGAAGAAAGAAAGAGAGAGAGAGAGAGAGAGAAAGAAAGAAAGAAAGAAAGAAGGAAAGAGAGACAGAAAGAAGGAAGGAAGGAAGGAAGGAAGGAAGGAAGGAAGGAAAGAAAGAAAGAAAGAAAGAAAAACAAAATAAGCAAAGAAGGAAAGAAGGAAAGAAGGGAAGAAACAAAGAAAGAAAGAAAGATAGAAAGAAAGAAACAAAGAAAGAAAGAGAGAGAGAGAGAGAGAAAGCAAAGGACGCTGCACCCGCCTCTTTTTACAGGTACATGTCCTTTCTAGAAGCTTCCGGCCTGCATCTCTGCTGGACTATACTTGGTAATGAGAAATATTGATACGCATATTTATGCATATAGTACCCGTTTTCTGGTGACCCCGTTTCATAGCATGTTTTTTTCTTTTTCTTTTCCGCATTTTGTGGCCAACAATGGGCACCAAAGACGGGGGTGCGCCGTGACTCGTAGCGGCAAAAAGAGTTCTTACTGTTGTTGGGATGTTCTTCGTGGATCCAAGATCCAAGATAGCTGGGGGACTTTGGAGGGAACTCTTGGATCCATGAATGCCCCTGAAACCTTAGTAAGTCTTAGGCGTGGCGTCCCTTTGAGCTGCAAGTGAACCTTACCGTGCCCCGGACACGCCGAACATTGCTCTGATAAATCCTGCCCAAGGGCGCTGATATGTCCTACCCGGGTGCTAAATCTGCTGATATTAAACTATTAATCGTATTTGAATTTTCAGTTATTAATAAATCTTGTGTAGTGTTGTCTGATATGATTGAAGCAAATGTATTGCTGTATGCGGTATTTGTATTGAATAAATTAGTATCATTTGTATATAATGTTGATACATCTGCTTGAATAGTTGTTTTTTCGGCCTCGAATTGGCCCATTGGAGCGAACCAGACCCAACTACAACTACCAATTAAGTTTCCAAAACCCCCAAAAATCACTTCAAAGGGTTTCCTCTTTTAAATTGGTTTTAACGGGACGCCAACAGGACAGCCGCAATTCTTCAGGGTCCCTCGAATGACATGGAACCCAAGCCACATGCACCTGACGGCCTGACGGGATCTCGGATCGGGCATCGAGAACCCCCACCCCTGCGCCGCAAGGCTGCCCCAAAGAACTCGCAGCGGATGCCCCCGGTACCTCAAGAGGCAAAAACAGCTCACTACCAAACAGAGCATCAAAGTAGAACTCACTTGCTGAAGGGATGGCCCAAAAAAAGTTCAATCCTGTATATATTTACAACTAAAATGGTCTTCCCAAAAAGTTTAAAGCTCATGAACTCAGGAAGTGAGAGAATAATGTAATAGAAATACATAAAGGTGCATTTCGAAGCCAAACGCAAAAACCCAGATGTTTCTATTGACTTCTACTTATTTCTTCATCAATTAGAACTGTTATTCTTGGATCACTTCCATGCACGTGAAAACATGTTAATGCTAGGATAAACATAAGCCAAATCAACAAAGAAAGAAAACACAACTCAGAGAACAACACATAACAACAATTCACTGACTAATGATTCTAAAGATTATTCTAGGAACTTCAGAAAATTACATTCATCTATTCCTGTCCTTTGCATTGCGGGGAGATCCGGACCAAAGGGGCGGGGCCCCAGCAGTACATGTAGAGCGGCGTCTCCTGGTTCCATTTGCTTCCCACACGTGTTTGATCAGTTTATTGCTTACATAACAGCACCTGACCCAGTTGCCCAATGGGCAAGGCATTGCTCTCGCCCCACGGGGCATGCAGCTGCGCCTGGGCCCTCTGGGTCCGGTGTGTGGCTGACAGCAAACATGGAGGTTCGAAGCCTGCCTGGGTCGCTTTTATTGTTTGTTTGCTTGACAATTCTCTCTGGGCTTTTGTTGTTTATGCTCTAAATTTTCGGCTTGTGCCTTTTTTGCTCTGACACAATGTAGCCCGATTCAATCAACCTCAACCTCTCAACCACATTGCGTGTGTTCCAGTCCTTTATCTTTAGAAACGTCCGATTCTCTGGCTGAGCGTTGATGAGAGACCGGTGCTTTGGCCACCTGATATGAGCCACTAACCACGATTCGACCACGGCAATCAGTGAAATAGCTTTCTGTGCGCCGTGGTCTCTGTGGGTAAATTTACCGAGGTGCAATTGCTTCCTCCACGAATTCCCAGGGGAGCGGCTGAATGCCGTCGAGCCCCTCATGAATCCAAGGCGCAACCCCAAAGAAGTGTACCCAAGGGCAAGATGAAGGGCCCATGGGGGGCGGGGAGAAGGCAGGACCCTTACGTTTGCACTGCTTTTGAGCTGGGGATGTAAGCAAGTTGCTGAGTCTGAAGCTTCGCCCAGCAGGCCTTCCTACCCCGACCCCCGACCCCGGACCCGGAGCTCCTTGTCCTCTTCCTCCAGTCCAAGGCTCTCCGGCGTCATCTCCTTACCGATAGTCAGTCGCTAGTAGCAGCCCCTTGCGACAGGGCTCTGAAGCGGTACATAGGCCTTGGGCTCGCATGCAATGCTTGCTATCACATTGGCCATTCCACAAGGCGAGGTTTGAAAGAAGGTGCAAGCGGCGCCTTTTCAAACCGCGGACGCTCATGGTATAGTGGATGCCTAATGTCCGAAAGCTTCGTACAAGCAGGAATGCAGTAAACCTCGCTCGGAGCGAGGTTCGAGGAACCAAAAGTCCAAGGAACCCCTCTAATACTGGGGATGGAGGAAATCCTGCACCACTTCAGAAACCCTCGGATGATTTCCCTGTAAACGGGTTCAGCCATGGTTTCAAACTGGTATCGAAATGGATTTCGCCCATCCGCAGTAGAATCCCAGGGGAGGAGGGGGGCCAACTCTTACCCCTTTCATACCCTGGATATACCCTCTCGAGCTTCTGGAAGAACTGTCGTCTCAAGGACCCCCCTCCAGAAACACGGCGAAATCGGCGAAGTGCTGAAGCTCCCCATCACAAAGGCTACATCACTTCTCCCTAACCCTCCATTTGCCCATTTGCGCTTCTTCGTCCCCTTGGCAAAACATGATTTCCAGCGATAGATCTCGCTTAAAACAAATAGGACACCATCTTTTTTTGGGGAAAAAGGACACCGAAGACCCTTTGCCTGGGGGCTCAGCATAGGACCGGACGCTTTCTGGCCCCGCATGCCTGCGGTGAAACCTTTGCGGTCCTGCGCCATGACCAAGCTGAGGGTCCCAGAGCTGGAGATGCCAAACTTCCGCGCGAAGCTTCCAGCGCGCCGGAAGTATTCACAAGTTACTACAATTTGTTGACCTCAGAGTGGGGAAATATCATGGGAACATGTGACAAACCCATACTTCGGGAAAGGGGAAAGCAGGGCGTGGGGAAGTTTGTTGCCTTGTGAGGTCCCATAAGGACATATATGGACGGCTTAGACACCCACAGACCTTCCCAAGAGTCCATCTTAAATGAGTCATGGAAGCTTTGAACCGCCATGCATCTGGGAACAGTCGAGTCTCGTCTTTGAGAGCGCTCCTCTTCCAATCCAGGCCTCCTTTCACTCTCTTGGCTGCCGGCATTTGGGCCTACCTCCCTTTCAATCGGCAGCTTGGGCCGGGGCAGCCGGCATAAAGTTCGAGAACTCGTCTTATTTCAGGCGAGCCTATGATTTGGACGGTTTCGGCAAATGGCTGTGGCTCAACAAATGACACCCCAAATGGCCCCTTGGTACGTGGAAACACGGACTAAAATCAAATCTGGCCAATCATGAAGCTGCCCTCTGCTTGCAATCCATCCAAACCAAGGGCCATCTGACTCATGTGCCCGCAAAGTTCGCAGGTCGTCGTGAACGCATGGCCACTCTGACGAGCACATGTCGTCTCCATAACTGGCCCTAAATGGGCTCTAACAAATGGGTTCCAGGAGAATACGCGAATCTTTGCAAGCTGGAACCCATTTATTAGAATCTGTTTAGGGCCCCCTTATAACTGGCGCACTGTACAGGTGAACTGCGGGGAATGTACGGTGCTTTTGCCGCTTTTTCGCTTTGCCAGCGTCTGAAACGGACCAGAAGCCAGCACTGCTTTGTTCTGCACAGCATTCCCAATACAGCTGTGACATTGACAGCCCTCGGCAAGACACAAACACCAAAATCCTCATCGACCATTCTCGGCTGCCTTTGGGCTGTCTACATTGTCGCACTGGACTTCTCTTCAGCCTTCTGGGCTCATATCTTGGCACAAGTCAACGCCACCTTGGCTGGAGCCCCCTTGAGATCTCTCCTTGCCCTCGTCTCTCTCTCTCCCTCACTCGATTTGCTTTCCGTACATTTCTCAAATTACTTGTTTGTTGCTTGTTTCATTCATGCTTTCCTTGTTTCGTTCGTTCTGTTTTTCTCAACTGTCTGTTCTTTCCTGTTCTTGCTTTCTTGGTTGCATTATCTGTTTCTTTCTTTCTTTCTGTCTGTCTTTCTGTTTCTTTGTTTTTGCATTTCTTCGCTTGAATTTCTCTCTCACTCTCGCACAATGTCGCAATGAGGGAACCGCGGCCTGACACGTTCCGTGTGAGTCCCAAATTTCACCCTTGACCCTCATCAAGGGTCGTGCATGTTACTTACCTACCCCAAATGGACATTGACATATCCCACCTTATCATAAACCACACGAAAGGGTACTTGTTGGGGTATGTACCCGATGGCCCCTGTAACCACTGATTTTGGTGCAAGTAGGACGCTGAGCAGGCAGCAGGCAGCAGGAAGCAGGCAGCATGTTGGCATGTAAGAAAACATGAAACAAGGAGGGAACACACCTCGTACTGATCACGTGCATCTGTTCAGCGGGCGCAGTTCAAGCATTCTCGAAAGTGTGAAAACCACCTGGTCGCAACATCGCACCGACTTTCACATGCGAAACGGATACCTCCGAAACAGATCCACTCAAACTTCAGGGTTGGGTATGTCTCAAAATGGTGGACCGACAAAATGGCAAGGGTTCCTTAGTTTCCCTGTAAAATCATCCCAGAAGAGCACCCTGACAAAAAATGACACGCCCATTTTGGCCGAAACGGAACCAAACAGTGAGATTGCTTTGGCCTGGAGGTCTAAGGTGTTGTGTTTCTTTTTTGCATAGCCCTGGCACCAGCCTAACCCTGGCACAGCCTGGACACACTAACGGACAAAGGTTTGGGGTGTGTTTAGGGTAGTCCGTTTAGGGTAGGTTAAAGCCCGGCATCGTTCTCACATCCTCAGCATCGTTTTCAACATCCTCAGCATCACCAGGCTTCGGTTGGCTGGGTTTAGGGTGGGTTCCAGGTTGGCTCAGGCTTGGCTCTGGGTGGGTTCCAGGCCTATTGGGAGCGAAGCCTGGTGATGCTGAGGATGCTGAAAACTATGCTGAGGATGTTAAAACGATGCCGGGCCTTAAACTACCCCTAAACGGACTACCCCAAACCTACCCTAAAACATACCCAGAACCCATCCCAAACCTTCGTCCTACCGAGGCACCAACCAACCAACCAACCAACCAACCAACCAACCAACCAACCACCTGTCAGGGTTATCCCTGTGCCAGGGCTAGGCCAAAAAACACTCTTTCCGGCCTGGAGACCTGAACATAAAATGTCGCACGTTGGACGCCTCGCCTGGAATGGTTCCCAGTCTTGGCACCAACATGATACCAAAATGCTGAATGCAATCAACCCATCTCATATAACCCCCCTTCTTGATTGCCTTCCCAAGCACCCAATTGTGCGTGAAATGCCCATGGCTTCACATTTCTCTTTTGAAACGCTCTGATCCTTTGAGGCCGCGTGGGTCTGGAAGATCGTAAGAAAGCCAATCCCCTTGTGGTGTGCGGGATGAATACAGAGCGTCTGGTGACATCATTCTCAGTTGCCCCTTAGGGATCCAGAAGTACAAGGTGATCACCTTTTCGGTTGCCACTAAAAAATAGGAACCCGACATGTGGAAACCAACAGGTCGATTGATCCGGTCGATTCGCTTGGCGAAGGCAACGAGAAAAAAAGGCACAAGGCAGCTCGCCGAGGTGCCAGCTCCTTGGGCGGCCCAGACATTCCCACAAGCCGCCGGACATGTAGAAGCCGGGCGCGGTCTCGAGCAAAGCCTGCGCACGAGACCGCTCAGAGCGAGAGCGAGCAAAAGCGAGGCCTTCTATTGCCTGGGGCAATTGGAAGCCAAGCCGAAAACGGCGACCCTCAACTGAAAGCTTCGAGTGGCAGCAATCGCTTCAAGCAAGGCGTTGTGCTGACAAGCGAAGAACTCTGCCAGGCAGCACCCCATGGAAAACGATTGCAGGGTCGACATATGGCCCCCTGACGGGACACCAAAGGAAACCATTTAGTAATGATGCTGTGGACGGACGAAATTCAGCACCACCTAAGAAACCCTGCAATGATGATTCACCTGTAACTGCCAACAAACAACGGTTTCAACCATGGTTTCCAAGTGGTGCAGGTTTTTGTCTATCCACAGTAGTAATGTACTACCTTTGGGTTGTTGTTTACTTGCTAGGACCCGGCAAAGGAGCTACCCTGTTGACTCTTGCAAGCAAACCGACCACTGACCATAGATTTCCCGTGTCCCCAACCGCAAAAGTTGGGAAATCGCATGGAACCCACTAGGGCACAACATCATGAAGGCCTTCCTTGCGGAAGCTACCCCGTGCTCCTTTCCTCGCTGCTTTGGGGTACGGGAGGGGGGGGGGGTGGGACACAATTACTCTACACGCAGGCTTCTCAGCGTTATCGATCGCCGCATCTTGAACAATATGGCTGTAATTACGTACCTGAAATAGGCGCCACAGAGTTCATCGTTATCTTGGCCAGGCAACCCTCAACCTCTGCTAGGTCCTCCAGTAGAGAGGTTAGAATAAGGGTACCCCTTTTTTGTGTAGTCATTTTGCCTCCCCCGAAAAAAGGTAGAAGGACACTGCTGGGGGACGTAATCCGGAATTCCAAGGGGACGGCTTCTTTGGAGCGAGGCCCAAAAGAGAAAGGGTCTCTGGAGGCCCAAGGTCCAGTTCTTCCCGACCCGTCAAGCACATCTTTTTTTTTACAGCCGCACAGGGCCCAGGCGAACGCAGAACCTGAAAGTTCTTCGTACCCGACCAGACTATTCGAAGCCCGCAGTCAGAAACTAACCAGAACCAAAACAAGAAGACAAAGCCAATGCAAAGCAGCAAAAACACCAAAAGGGTGTGTCTTTCATATTTTGGGGACCCCACCAAAAAGAGAAGAAGAAGATTAGAAGACGGAGAAGAAGAAGGAGAAGAAGAAGAAGAAGAAGAAGAAGAAGAAGAAGAAGAAGAAGAAGAAGAAGAAGAAGAAGAAGAAGAAGAAGAAGAAGAAGAAGACAAAGAAGAACAAGACAAAGCAGACGAACACGAAGACATTATTTTTCTTTTGCTTCCCTTTAACCCCAGCCAGGAAGGGCACCCTTAAAACAACACGC